ACTGGGGGGACACTGATATCCGCATCTCAAAGTTGAGAAAGCCTTACATTTCCATCTTTCATCTTTGAAGCTTTCTTGCTTACACAGTTTCATCCATGGCTGGCATCAAGGCATTTGTCGACAGCTGCAACGGGACGCTGGACAGCGTTCCGGACAGATACATGATGCCGAATGGAGCTGCCGATGTCTCCCGGTACGCGGTGCTGCCGATAGTCGATGTGGCGAGCGAGAGCTTCGAGAGGGATCTCGTTGACGCTTGCTCAAAGTACGGAATGTTCTACGTAAGTTTTCAAGAAGTGTCTTTTTCCTGTAGTACATGTTCGCTAAGTGGATGTATTTCTTGTTCAGCTCAAGAACCACGGCATTCACACCGAGGATGTGATGAGGTGCGCTCTCGAGTTCTTCAACTCGCCCAGCGAGGACAAGATGCGGTACTACACCGAGGAGATCTTCACGCCCGTCCGCTACTGCACCAGCATGATGCCCTCGAAGGAAGAGAAGCTCGAGTGGCACGACCACCTCCAGATGTGGCTCAAGGAAGAGTCCCTCGGAGCGCACCCCTGGCCCGCGTTCCCAGCCAGCTACAAGTCAGTATCTCGCTCCGTGATTATGGTATTGCTCTAGATTGCTGATGTTCTATATGCAACAGGGACGTTGGATCCGAGTACGCCAGAAACATCTTCAAGCTCGGGAAGAGGATGCTGTTGGTCATGTCTGAGGGACTTGGCCTCCGCACAAATCGTCTTCTGGAAGCATTCGAAGACATGGTTCTTCTGACGAGAGCCAACTTCTATCCGGCTTGCCCGAATCCGAGGCAAGCATTGGGGATGGAAGGCCACACCGACAGTGGTGGCCTCACGTTTGTGCTCCAGGATGGAGTCGGGGGATTGCAGCTCAAGCAAGGCGAGGATTGGTACAATGTGAGGCCACTCGAGGGAATGCTGGTGGTTAACATGGGCGATCAGCTAGAGGTACGAGCAGTCGAAAACTTTTTGAGAAACTGTGGATTGATCTTTGTCTTGGTTGGTTGTCTTGTATCAGAAGCTCAGCAATGGGAGATACAAGAGCATACTGCACAGGGTGATGGTGAACTCGAAGAGCTCGAGGCTGTCCGTTGGGGCGTTTCTTGGGCCGTCACTAGATGCGGAGATCAGCCCGATTCCAGAGCTGGTGAGCCAGCAGAGTCCGGCAAAGTACCGCAGCAGGACTTACAGGGACTACATGCACGAGGTGTACACGGAGCACTTCTCCGGGAAGAACGTCTATGTGGCTTGAGCCTTGGATAGTCTTAGGCACCAATTTTTTTCTCATCTCACAGATTTTTGCTCACAAGGATCTTAATGTGATAAGCCACATACGAAATTTGCTCCCTTGACCGACTGTGTGCTGCCTAGAAGGTCGTAAAGTTTAACAATCTGGGAGGGAATAACAATCATTAACAGGATTTTTGTAAGGTCAGATGAGGTGTGATCGTGTGATATGGATTGAAACTACTATCCAAACACATGAAAAACAGCGCTTTTCCATCAGGTGTCCACTCTTTTTATTTTCATTTTCTTTAGATTTTCAGCTGCGTCAAGTCCAATGAAAACCACACCGACAATCAGCTTGAACTTCGATAGAAAATTAAAAAACTTTTCCCTGCAGTCTTCAGCAAGAGCGAGCAAGGACCTCAGAGTGGCCTGGGCGAACGTGGGCGTGGGAATGGAAGGAGAGAGAAGACCACAACAATTTTGGAAACTTGTTTGCACATGCTCGAATGCGATCCATGAGTCGAGATCGACATAACTCGAGATGTTCGAGTTGTGGTGCACCTTCGGAAGAGCTGCATGGAAAATTACTACAACTCGCCTCCATCGCCCCTGGTGTGGAAATCTAGGGTTTTGATGTGGGAGTACGATTGGGTGGAGCGCCACTTTTGGAGGTGGAGCGATCGCGCGTGGGCGATGTAGTGCCCAACACCAGCGAAATTCTCGCCAGGATTCAAGAGAATATGAGCAGGTTTGTGAATCTTCTCGAGGAGCAGCGGCAATGGGCGGAGGGTGTCTACTCGAATGGGGAAGGATTGGAGCTTTTCCTTTTCCAGGTGAACGCCATCGAAGGCGAGGGGTTTGAGTTGTATAAAGAGACCCAGGAGGCGATTGCCGCAGGCGCGCTGCTGGATGGCTCTCAAGATATGAGCCAAGAGGCTGAAGCCATGCGTTGCCTCCACAGGGCATTTGCACACCAGCTCCAAGGAAGCAATGCAAACTTGGCACCGAGGTTGAGCGTTTCTGGCATTCTGGATGCGCACAGGTGCCTGATGAGCTCGAGCAAGCCAGGCATCGCCGGGAGGCTGAGGCGCGAGGACGAGGTTGCCTTCACCGTGACGACACTGAACTTGCCGCATGTTTTCATGTGGCCTTCGGACGTGGAGGGAGCTCTTCACAGGCTCGTGGATGAAACCAATGCGGAGCTCGAGGAGCTCTTCGCGAGAGATTGTCACGACCGGACTGAGAGACTTCTCAAGCTCGGGGCACGGTTCTTCCTCGAGTTTGAGAACATCCATCCTTTCAAGGATGGGAATGGGAGGATCGGGAGAGTACTGCTTGCAAAGCTATTGGAGTCACTTGCGCCGTTCCCGAATACCTTGTTGGTGGAAAGTATGAAGCAGGACCCTCCGTTTGTGGACGGGGATGACTACCGAGAATGCTTCGAAAGGGCCCAGGCAGAGCAGGAGTTCGATCGTAGCGAGGAAGGTGGCGCGCTGAGGTTGACGAGAGAGGGCGCAGTGAGCAAAACTTCTCCTCCAGAGGATCTGGCGGCTTTGGTGGTGGAAGGCTTGTACGTGGGGTGGAAGCGCCTGTTTAAGGCTCTTCATGAAGTGGAAGTTCCAGTGACAAGGGCATGGAAACCAAAGTGGTGGGAATCACGGCAGTCCCTGGTCCAGGCATGAAATACTTGTTTTCCACTAGAATAGATGGCCATATAGTGCCAATATGCCGCATCCACGTCTCACAGCCGCTGAAGTTGTGAAAAAAATGCATGAGAGAAATGGAGATGAACTCACGCCTAATTTTCTCCTGGGGAGAGATACGATTTTGTCAGGGGTACGAACATACAGGATGCATGAAATGATAGAAAAAGGAAGGAAGAAGGTTGGTTTAACATCGGCATCATTTTGCTCTTGATCTGATATAGCTTTTCGTCAGATCTTGGATTTGTGCTAGCTATCCTTTTGTTTTTTATCTCTCCCGGCTATATAACAGTCTTCAAAGTCCCAAGACTCAAAATATTGCCCAAACTCGGCTTCCCGTTCTGCTCATCTCCATGACGTTGCTCACTACCTCCCAGTCGCTTGTCTTGGCTCTTACCTCTTGAGGGCGTGGAGCTCAAGTTTACATATTCGAACAGGGGCCACAGCATGCGGATATCAAGGTTGAGGCTTAGAGAATGGATTACCATTGCCATACTAGTGGAACAGTTGGGAGCAGAGACTCTCGTTGAGGTCGTGAAGTACTCATATTGTCGTGCTGTCCTATTCTGGTGATCGAGTTGGCCAGACCACATATACGAGTTCGGGGAGCTGCAACATACATCGACAAGCCTGCTTACCAGTTTCACTCCGTTCCTTGTTATCTACAAGTTCTTCAGGACTCTGACCATGTCCCTACACTGTCCAGGGCCTTGGCCTCCATTGGTGACCTCATGCTCTGTTTTATGGAACCTTGACTCTAGGGAAACAGAAGCCGTCAAAGATCAGGACGCTGCGAGAGCAGGAAGCAACCATCGTACAGAGGACTCGTGCACAAGCAGCGAGTAATCTACGTCTGATGAACATTGGCAGGTCCAACCAGCTTCTGTTTAGAGTAGGGCGGCCTTGGATGTCTCCCCGTGTCATCAAGTTCTCTCAGCGATATGAAATCGACATCCAGCAGAGTTTTTCATGTGTGAGGATGGCTGGTTCATGATAGATATGGAGTTTTTCCCCGAGGAGGACGGTTGGATTCCCTCATTGCAGGCGTCTGCTGCAGCGATTTTGCAAAGAGCAGGTACAAATCACTGCAGAAACGTTTCCTTTTATAGTTCATGGGGATTTGCGGCAAGGAAACATACTTTACAACACTGGAACGTGGGGGCTGGCCTTCATCGATTTGGATTCACTTATAACATCCAGATAATCTGGCCTCTTGGCGTTGATACTCGGTTTTAAGTGTTTGATTTCAAATAGTCTAGTACTGCAAGCGCCACCAAGATAAATTTCATTTCCTGCATTTAACTGTTTAAATAGTCTAGGTTATCGTGTCCTAGACGATCTGTACAATATAAAAATTGATTTTGATAATGAACCTGATTTGGATGTCCCTGATAGCATACTTTCCTCAACACAGCTCTCCCCATGCTTCTCCTCCCCGAGTTTCAAGCATGCCGTGAGAAGAATGCACTCGTGATGGATCTGAATGTCAAATGAGAGCTCATTTCTTCTCCATTTGCTACATTTTCCATCAACCATCTCCAAAACAGATTACCCGGAGTGCTAAACTTTGTTGCTCTGAAGGCCAGACTATCACCTAGATGTTCTAGCACGAAGAATAAGGTTTCAAACAGCCAGATTTTCATAAACAGGGACAAAAGAAAGACAGACAAAGAAGACAAAGAAAGACAAAGAAAGACAAAGAAGCCGAATTTCGGATCCTGGAAAGTGATAGCGTGGAACCAGGAGAGTCCGTGCCGAGCGAAAATATTTCTCAGCCGACAGCTTTCTTAGGCCGACATTCTTGACAAGCGCCAATAGCAAGCGAACTGGAAAGGTAGCCCAGCTTAGATTCTCTTTAAATTTCTGAATTCCTCCAATCACGCAAGCCAAAATTGGTCCGAGTTGACCAGGGAATCTGAGTCCGCGTCAGAATTCTTGCTGACGAACAAGTCATCAACTTTCATTTATTTTATGTTGAATTGGTATCGACAAGAATAATTGGGCCTACAGTTCGGAAAATTGTTTTGGAGCTCTAGAGCCTAATCTAGCACACGCTCACTTGCCTGTAGTGGCTGGGCCTCCCATCCGGATACCTCACAAGCGCCATCTCGAACCCGTCACGCTTGAGCAGCATCTCATGCTCGAGCTCCTCGCAAGCCAAATCTCCCACACCCGATCCCCATCCCCGGATGACCTTGGAGTGCAGCAGCAAGAACTTGCCATCGGCCAGCTCCACGACTGTGTTGTGCCACGGCGTCGGTATGTGGAAGTTCCTCTCCTCGGAGGAGCGCTGTGCCGCCACGAGCGAGGAGTGAATGACGTTGATGCCGTACTTGGGGCCGCGGTTTGGATGCGGGTGGATGGAGACGCGGAGCTGCAGTGGAAAGAGCCACTCCACCATCGCCGAGTAGGCGCGGTTCCTCAGGATCATGAGGAAGCCGACTTGGCTGCACAGCTTCTTCTTGGCCGACTTCGATGGGAGACTCTTGCAGCTCTTGTGCTCGTAGAGATCCTCAAGCATGAACCTGGAGAAGCCGCGGTACAAATTGCGCGTCTCCGGGTCCTCCTTGATGTCCCTGTGCACGGCCGACTCGTCACTTCCAAACAAGCGGATGAGAGCTCGTCTCGCTGTCTCGGCGTTGGAGGTGAGGTCGGTGGCGACGGGATGCTCCAGCTCGGTGCCGGAAACGAGCTCCTCTATGCTCTCGTCGCTGTGGTTGTCCAGCAAGAATTCGTCTAGGCGGTAGAAGCTGACCAAGCCCGGATACAAATCGTGCGCCATCTCGCGAAACATCTCTCCGTATGTATCCACGGTAGCATCGTCAGATCCAACTGCAAGAACAGAGCTTTAGTCATGAAAAGAGCTTGGATCGATCGTATGATCTTTACCGAGATCAGAGAAGACATGGCCATCCGAGACGACGTTGTAGTGCACACCGGGGGCGTACACGGCTTTGATGAGGTCCGCGACAATCTTCATGGAATGAATTGCGAGCTCCTCGGCCTTGTCGGGGTATTTCCCCAAAGTCTTGTCGGAGTTGCACGACTTCACCGGGAAAGCTGGAAGGATGAACTCGAGAGGAACGTTTCTTGCGACGTGATACCTCACCTTGTCCGCGAACCTCTGCTTGCCCCCGCTAGTGAACCACTGGTCGTGCCTTGGGAAGTGGATGTAATTTGCCTCGATGATGTCCACCACCTTGGAGGCGATCACGTCCACCTCGAGTGGAGTGTGCGATGCGAATGGCTCCAGGAGGCAATCCCTCGTCATGACGCTGTTGTCCAGCAGGAGAGTGGCCAAGTAATCGGTCGCGCTCGACTCCAGCGCTGGTTCATCCATGGAGAAAACCACGCCCTCGAATCCATTGCCAATGTATCTCTCGTACACAGTCGCCTCCCAGCTTGATGAGCTCGCGGCGTCAAGAAAGGATATATTGTACTTATGGATCTCTGGAGTGGTGGAGCGCGTGGCGTTCTTGGCCGCCTCTAATTCCGCGGCCGTGCTCGCAACCATGGAAGAAAACACGAAACCATCGCCTCCTTGATCGGCAACCGGGACATGCCATGATGCGGATTGGGAGATGAAGCACACCTCGCCCCTCTCCCTGTGGATATACATGAACGCGATCTTGTCCTTGGGATAACCCATGATGGAGAGCTGATCAATGCGTGAATTCACACTCTATGAGAATGTAGTTTGATCAAATAAGGGATTGCTAGAAATGCGTTGAGGCGGTTCTTGGGTTTCTTTCTTATAGGTGGCCAAGCCGTCCAACTCTGACGAAAATAGTTGTCCGTGGTTGGACTGTTCTCTCTGAATAATATTGTATTATACGTTGATGGGTACGTGTGGGTACTAGAGACCAGTTCTTGAGCAAGTAGCTTCTCGCTGCTTTCCAGATCCTTTCATGCAAGCTTTGGGAAGCACATGTCTAAATTGATCAATATTAAAGAATAGAAGGTTCGTGTGTTCAAATAACTCTTAAAACATGTAAACGAGTGGCATACAAAGTTTGACCACTCTGTGCTGCAATTGCTCAAATTTGGTTTTGATTTAGGCGGCTAAATCAACCAAACCGACTAACCGAGTAACAGAGTGACCAGGCGAGTAAACATAAAAGTCCAAAACGAGCAAAGACATTAGACATTCTTTGACCATCCCCGGTTTACGTAACCGTATCTGCCCTACGCAAATTTGCCAGCGTTCCTACGTTGACATGAAAGCATGTATGGCGGCAAGGTTCACGACCAAATCCATTCGCAGAAAAAGCACCTTTCATGAAATGTGAACAATCCACACGTCTCAGCTTTTGATTTTGATTTCCAGCTTTGGACTTTTCCAGTGTAGTTTCTTATATGCTAGTCTCTTCTATGCTGTTTTTTCAGCCCTCTCGTTTGATAATTTACACATGTCCTTTCAGGGGAAAATGTAGTATTTGACACATAACATTTGCCTGTACACCTTTTGACATAGGAAAAATCTAGGAATCAGCAAGTCGACATGTAGGCCATAGAAAGTTTTTGTGTCCCTTATCGAGTTTTTCCGAGAACTCTCTGATAAGCTTTGATTTATACAAAATCTAGTTGATTTCAAGGATGCAGGGGGATCCCTCTCAAGCCCAACGTCATGAAATGGCGCATGAGATCAGCAGGCCTGGTCAAGGACTAGTGAGACTTCGCAACCGTTCTCGGCAACAATGACTTCCAGCTTCTCGCGTAAGAACAACATGGCGAAAACTTCCAGGATGAGGAATGTGAGTGTCATTCCCGATCCAGTCTTTGAACATCTTGGCTGGATGGAAGTCATGGCTTGGAGCTTGATCCAGCTGCAAGTGTAAGTGACCAAAATTGACCAGTCAAAGCGACTCCAGTCTAGGAATAGGTTTGATTGTTTTCGAATTCTTTGGCGGGAGACTCTAGGTAAGAGCTATGGAGCGGCTCGATCCGGGCTTCGTCGCGACATTCGACGGCACCAAGGATTTCCTGTGCTTCATGTCGGCTCGATCGGGCCTGTGGCGCACCATCCCAGCGCCGTCCGTGCCCTGGGACGATCTTGTCGCCGCCGATGGCTCGCTCGTGCTGTTCCAGAGGAGGATCGCCGAGGGGGTAAGAAAAACGGTGTTTCTAGTTTTCGACCCAGGCAAGGGCAGCTGCGAGGAGCTCCCGGCGATGGATGGCGAGCCACTCCTGGCGGGATTTAGCATGGACGAAGCGTCCAGGCGGTACAGGGTCGTGGTGGATGGTATAGGCAGGGATTTTCTTCCAGAAGGAAGAATTGGGTCGATCGATGGTGATGGATTTCTCTACAAGTCAGAGGGTAAGGCGTGGAAACGGCTTGAAAGCTCTCCAACGTTTTGGGAGAAGAGACCCAATGGACCTGCGTGTAAGGATGGCGTGATTTGGTGGCGCCTGGGCAAGGAGATCCGGAGCTTCGACGTTGCCCAGGAGAAATGGTGTAAGTGATGTGCTGCCCAGGAAAAGGATGAATCGATCGACCGGGAGGAACGCAAGCGGCAGAGAAAAGAAGAGATTCCGCGAGTGCGTGTGGGCTACGCGGGAGCAAACATGGAAGTTCTCATGGATTGCGGCAACACCCTCTTTGCGAAAGGCTCTCCTCCCTGGCCTGGTCCGAAATGGCTGAGAGCTCCCGGCTGCCACGCAGAGATGCGCGTCCAAAAGCAGGAAAACCACGGCGTTTGCATCCAGCTCGCAAACAACTCAAGCTTCGCAACCCAGGGAGATAGCTCCAGAAATCCCAAGGGCTGGGCGATTTGGCCACACTGTCCACTCCGCAAAGGCATGCTCTCCCTCTACCCTCTCAAGATCGACACAGGCAGCAGGGCCATCTCGAGATTTGTTCCGGAGGAGCAAAAGGTGGCAGGTCCTGGCTTCGTAGCCGCCTTCAAATGCATCAAGAACTTCCTGTGCTTCTACTCGATCGAGAGCGAGACTTGGAGGAGAATGCCAGCTCCATCGCCGGCTTGCTGGGACGAGCTCGTAGCGGCCGACGCCACACTGGTCTTGCTAAAGAGGAACTCGAGAGGTGCCGGTTTGGAGTTCGTGGTCTTCAACCCGGCAACCTGTTCGTGTCTGGAGCTCCAAGCTTGCGGGTTTCTCGAGGACGAGGCCTACATCACGGGCTTCTGGGTGAGCGACGCAGTCGACGGCCTTCCATGTTTCAGCATTGTCTGCGCCAAGCATGAGGATAGCCAGGACGCCTACGTCTATACTTCCCAGAGTGGATCCTGGAGAAAGTCGCAAGCCATGCCAGAGCTCGGTGGATGCTTTGCTCTTGCCGGAGCAAGCAGCCGGCCAGGGAAGTACTCGTGGCGCCTGGAAGACGACTGCTTCGAGCTGCAAGGGCTGCTGACGTTCGACTTTGCGACCGAGGCGTGGTCGGTGCTCGCCAAGTCGGAGTGTAGTGTTCGGTTCCAGAGGAGATCTCTCAAGAACAGGGACTGGATAGAGGCCGTGTATGCGGGGGCTGGCGACTTTGGGGACCTCAAGCTTGTCCTGGACGACGACAACCTCGACATCTACATTCTCAACGGAGATGGCACCCAAAAGTGTGCCAAGCTTGCCTCGGACGTGTGGGACTACGAATGGAGTGGCATCGCCGGGAAGACAGTGGAAGTGATTCTTCACGGAGTGCGTGCTCGGCGGCAGGGAAGCGTGGTGTGCATCCAAGTGGAGGGCCAAGAGTGCGTGGCCATGAAGGATCTCCGGGCAGGAAATGGATCACAATGGATGATGTGGGATCACTGCCCACTTGAGAAAGAAATGTTGGATCTCCATCCTTTGAGTTTAGACTATTGTTGACCAAACGGAAACAAGTCAACCTTACATAGTCAACCCAAATCAAATACCATCTTTGACTAGATTCCCAGTGCAAAGAATGGTGTTAATGGTACATACAAAATCAGCGGTTACGAGTAGCATTACATTGCTTTCATGGGCCGACCCGCGTCTTTGTCACGTCCACAACTGCGAAGAACAAACGCGAGCGTTTAGCACTGCAAGATCTCCTCCTCCTATAACGTACCGGTTACAGCATTCCCGGGATGCGTAGTTATGGTTGTCACAGTTTGTACAAATCCAATCTCCAGCGCGCCAGTGTTTGGCTCTGAAGAGCAAAACAAGTGATTCAATGGTATCAAAGCTCGAAACAACGTGAGAGATCTACGCACCCCTTTCCGACGTTTGGAGGGTTTTGCAACGCTGCCGCTGCTGCTGGATTGGGAAGTCCCAGGTTTGGGATCAAGTTGAGCCCTCCGAGGACAAGCCCTGAACGGTCGTTCCATCCTCCGCAAGAAGTAAAAGATGCCTGCAAAAGAATCAGTGAGAGCGTTTAAACAGAAAAGCATGAGTTACTTACCATGTAGGCCTGGTGCAAGAGATCAACGTGTGGACGCTTGGTTACCCAATCGTTTGATAACTCATCAGAGGCCTGGCGCTTCACCCCAGAAACTAAAGTTTCCGGCACGAGACACAAGAGGAACGTGAGTGAGAGTTGTGGCAATGCGTAGCTTTGAATACCTTGATATCCAACTGTACTCAAGTTTTGTTGCGGCAATGCGATCGCTGGCAAGGAATGACATTGTTTGCACTGCACAGAGCAAATCACAAACAGCTTAAGAGAAGGAATAACCAAGAAAGGGTTTAAGAGACATACCGTGGTTCTCGAAGCATAGTTCACGTAGCCGCAGGTGCACGTCCAGTCCCCAATCCGCCAGTTACCACCGCCTCCACCGCCTCCGCCACCGCCACCAACACCTCCTAAAGTGTTGTCACTCAAGCGGACGCTTCTGGCTAGAGCAGCAGCGTTCATGTTCCAAGTGCCGAGCGAGATTGGAGCCGGCATGATCCCCATGTTGAGGCCCAGCGCGGCTCCATTGGCGAGAGGCGCCGAGACCGCAGCACCCGACCCGGCGGCGGCGGCTACAGACAGTGGCAAGGCTGCGACGTCTCTGGGCTTGCCACACTTGTTACATTTGTCTCTCGAGGCATAGTTGTTGTTGCTACAGCCTTTTGGTACGTAGTAGTAGTAGTAGTACACACACCACCACACGACGTACGCACACACCAGCACCGCGGGAGAAAGAAAGACGCTTGCACGAGCAAGCCATCATCCAGTAAGGCGTCCCCACGCAACACAGCAAAACCAGAAAACAAAAAACAAACGCACCCGGATCACGCCAGCTTGAACAGCTGAATTCGAAAAAATCGAAAGAAAAAAGAACCAAAGAAGAAGGGAAGAAAAAAAAGATGGTCTTTCTAGTGCTTGCTATTGCTACTGCTACTGCTACTACTGCTACAAATGAGCACACACCTTTGCAGGACGCAAACACTTGAGCACGCAAACGCAAACACCAAGGGGGAGGAGAGGATTTACAGACCCGCGCATATCCAGTCGCCAATCCGAGGAAGCCATTTGGAATCCGGGGGCGTGTCAGTGTCGACCAGAATTCTCGGCTGCTTGCAACGATTGCACAGCGACCGGAACGCGTAGTTCCGGTTGGAGCAGCCGGAGCACTTCCAATCGCCTTCCCTAGCTCCGCTGGATCTTGTCATCGCTGCAAGCAAGACGGAACGAAATCTCAGGGACTTCCGCAAGAAATGCGAACCAAGAACAATGCGGCGGCCGTAGATCTGAGAGATTACCTGGTCGACTGTCGACAGATCCGGCAGCGCGCTCGCTCGCCCAAACTCCCACGCAAAATGGACAAACCCTAGCTAGACCCTTTCGAAAGAGAATAGTAAAAAAAGAGAAACTGCCAATGACCGGTATCGAACCCGGGACTGGTCTAGCGATCGAGACGTTGGCTTGGCATTTTAGAGCTCGTTGTCGTTGGTTACCACTATCATATCATCGTCGTGGTTCTTCCCTATCCTATAGTATATTTTAGCTCTAGGAATTCCTCGCGAAGGCGCTGTTAGTGGCGATGCTCGTGCTCGTCGGTGATAATCCGCGTAATACTCCTCCAGCTCCAGATCTCCGGGTATTTCATTGCGATCGCAGGGATCCGGATCCGGGGGGTAGGGTTTTGTAGATTCACGCCAGGAATCGGTCATCGCCGAGCCACATTGCCGTATCGCGGAAGAAATCAGGTGAAGAAATGGCGTCTCCGTCGTCTTCTCTGTCGATCACAGGTGGAAAATCCTTCCGGAAGCTCATCAGCCCGAAATCCTTCAAGACGGCGACGACTCCTTCTCCCAACAGCAGCGGCACAAGGCGCACATCCAGCGGCCGCTACATGACGCTGTCCAAGGACGATCAAGATCTTGGAGGAGAGGTGAGCTCCGAGTTTAATCCCAGCTATCATGTCCACATTCCTCCAACGCCGGACAATCAGCCAATGTCCTCCACACCCGCCGACCAGATCCTGGCCGCCAAGGTGGAGCAGCAGTTTGTTTCCAACACGATCTTCAGCGGTGGATTCAACAGCGTGACGAGGGGCCATGTCTTGGAGAGGATGGTCGAGGCCGACGCATCCCATCCCCAAATGGCGTGCGCTAGGAGCGGGGTGTGCTCGGTGGAAGGCTGCGATGGGAAGTCCATGAGGGACGAGAGGGGCGAGGACATCACCCCTTGCGAATGCGCGTATAGGATCTGTCGGGAGTGCTATGTGGATGCGCTGGAGAGCACAGGGAAGTGTCCCGGATGCAAGGAGGCGTATAAGGTGATCGATCCAGACGGGGAGGTCTTGCCACTGCCGCCACCCCCAGGGAGAGTTGACAGGAGGCTCTCGCTGCTCAGGTCCAGCAAGCCATCGCTGCTGATGAGAACACAGACGTCCGACTTCGATCACGCTCGATGGTTGTATGAGACCAAAGGGACTTACGGGTATGGGAACGCTCTCTGGCCCAAGGACGAGGCTTACATGGAGAGTGGAGATGATGGAGCTCCTCCGAAATTCAACGAGAAGGCGAGGAAGCCGATGTCTAGGAAGACAGGGGTGTCTGCTGCGATTCTTAGTCCATACAGGTACGCACCACTGTTGCTTTTTGGTTTTTTATGTCCTGGTTCTTTACAGACTTCTCGTGATAGTCCGGTTGGCAGTGCTGGGACTTTTCTTGGAATGGCGGGTTCGACATCCCAACAGAGATGCGATGTGGCTGTGGGGAATATCGGTGGTCTGTGAGATCTGGTTCGCCTTCTCTTGGGTTTTGGACCAGCTGCCCAAGCTCTGTCCCGTCAACCGTGCCACCGACTTGAACGCGCTCAAGGACAGGTTTGAAACGCCGAGTCCCGAAAATCCCAGGGGCAGATCGGACCTTCCAGGCATCGATGTGTTCGTGTCTACTGCTGATCCTGACAAGGAGCCAACTCTGGTGACGGCCAACACCATCTTGTCGATTCTAGCTGCCGAGTATCCGGTGGAGAAACTTTGCTGCTATCTTTCCGACGACGGTGGTGCATTAATCTCTTTCGAAGGTCTGGCCGAAGCAGCTAGTTTTGCCAGGTTCTGGGTTCCTTTCTGCCGGAAACACGATATCGAGCCTAGGAATCCAGAGACTTACTTTCTTCTGAAGGGTGACCCGACGAAGAACAAACTGAGGTCGGATTTTGTGAAGGACAGGAGAAGAGTCAAGCGAGAATACGACGAGTTCAAGGTCCGCATCAATGGACTACCTGATGCAATCCGAAGAAGATCCGACGCCTACAATGCTCACGAGGAGATACGAGCCAAACGTTACCAGATAGAAAGTGGTGGTGATCCAAGTGAGCCGCTCAATGTTCCGAAAGCTACTTGGATGGCTGATGGCACCCACTGGCCGGGAACTTGGACGTCTTCGAACAAGGACCACAGCCGAGGAGATCATGCTGGGATCATTCAGGTACGCAATGTTTTCTATTACATTGTCTCTTTCTTACAACTTTCCTTTTTCTCGTTGCAGGTTATGCTCGCTCCACCAAGTAGCGAGCCTCTCATGGGAAGCTCTGACGAAGACAACCTCATTGACACGTCTGAGCTTGACATCCGGCTTCCGATGCTTGTTTATGTTTCAAGGGAGAAGAGGCCGGGATACGACCACAACAAGAAGGCAGGCGCCATGAACGCGCTTGTGCGAACGAGTGCTATCATGTCCAACGGTGCCTTCATCCTGAACCTTGACTGCGACCACTACATTTTCAACTCTCTTGCGCTGAGGGAAGCAATGTGCTTTATGATGGACCGAGGAGGCGACAGGCTTTGCTACGTCCAGTTCCCGCAGCGTTTTGAAGGCATCGATCCAAACGATCGCTACGCCAACCACAACACCGTGTTCTTCGACGTCAACATGCGGGCACTGGATGGTGTACAGGGACCAGTTTACGTGGGGACTGGCTGTGTTTTCAGAAGGATAGCGCTGTACGCGTTCGATCCTCCACGACACAAGAGTCGTGGTTGCTGCGGTGATAGAGACAGCAAGAAGAAGTCGGCCAAGTCGGATATCGAGATAGCATCTTTGAACGGTGGAGACGACGAAGATGCGGAAGCTCAGCTGGTTCCAAAACGGTTTGGAAATTCTATCAGCTTTCTGGAGTCGATACCCGTGGCGGAATTTCAAGGCAGGCCACTGGACGCACAAGGTGTGAAGTATGGAAGACCTCCCGGAGCTTTGACAGAGCCTCGTGAACCACTGGATGCTGCAACCGTGGCTGAAGCTATCAATGCCATCTCTTGCTGGTACGAGGATAAAACAGAGTGGGGACACAGAGTAGGATGGATTTACGGCTCGGTCACAGAAGACGTGGTAACTGGCTTCCGAATGCATGACAGAGGCTGGAGATCGGTCTACTGCGTGACCAAACGAGACGCCTTCAGGGGAAGTGCTCCTATAAACTTGACGGACAGGCTGCACCAAGTCTTGCGATGGGCTACCGGGTCAGTGGAGATTTTCTTCTCACGCAACAACGCTCTGTTTGCAAGCTCGAGGCTGAAGTTTCTCCAGCGGATAGCCTACTTGAACGTCGGGATTTATCCGTTCACGTCGATCTTCCTTCTGGTCTACTGCTTCCTCCCGGCACTGTCGCTCTTCACGGGCCAGTTCATCGTCCAGACGCTCAACGTCACCTTCCTGGTCTACCTCCTGACTATCACGGTGACGCTGTGCCTTTTGGCTGTGCTGGAGATCAAGTGGTCGGGCATCACACTGGACGAATGGTGGCGGAACGAACAGTTCTGGGTCATTGGGGGAACCAGTGCGCATCTGGCAGCCGTGCTCCAGGGGCTACTCAAAGTCATCGCTGGTGTGGACATATCTTTTACTCTGACGTCCAAAGCAGGTGGAGAAGGCGAAGATGACGCTTACGCCGACCTCTACATCGTCAAGTGGTCTGCCCTGATGATTCCTCCGATCACCATCATGATGACCAACTTGATAGCGATCGGGGTCGGAGTTTCCAGGACTATTTACAGCGAGATTCCCCAGTGGAGCAGGCTACTCGGCGGAGTGTTCTTCAGCGCCTGGGTGCTGTTCCACCTCTATCCGTTTGCGAAGGGACTCATGGGGCGACGAGGGAGGACTCCGACCATCGTTTTCATCTGGTCGGGACTTCTCGCCATTGTCATCTCACTGCTCTGGGTGTCGATCAGCCCTCCGTCTCAAGCTCAAGGCATTGGTGGTGGCTTCCAGTTTCCGTGAGTTTACTCTCAGGTATGGTTTAAATCCAACTTTCTTTTCAACTTAAGACGACGTTCTTGCTGACTTGATCTCGTGTATGCAGGGGCCCTCTGTCTGTACAAAAATGATATTCTCTCGCTTGATTCAGCCCCCGATTGTCAAGAGCGGCAGTCCTGGCAGTGACATTCCAGTTGCCAAGCGTCCAGCAATTCCAGCTGCTTGATGTGCACATCGTTGTCGATCTCGAGGTGGTCTCTCAAGTCGCTTATTAGCTTCTCCTGGCCCCAAGTCAAGCCAGTGCACCTCGAACGAAGCGCTCTCAGCACGCACGAGTAAGCCTTTCTCTGGATGTACTTGATCATGCAGTATTCCTCCCCGGGTCCTCCTTTCCCTCCCTGCTGCTTCTCCTCTTGCCGGTTTTCTTCCATTCCCTTCGATAGCTGCTGCTCCTCCTGTTGCTCTGGCTCGCGAGTCCCATTCCTCCTCTCCCCCCGATCACCAAGGTCCGAGCTTTCAAGATCCTTCCTTTTCCTCCCGTTCACGGCCGGACTGTCGAGGTCCGAGACGTTCATCCTTTCTTTACTGTTTGTTCCCGCCTGTGGTGAGCCCGGCGGTGTCAAGTTCGCATTGTCTTGCGAATGATCGCTGGGTGACTTTAGAGGCACCCCGTCGTTGAGCTCTTCTTGCTGGTTGACGTTGTGCTCCGCCTCCTCGTCATCTTCGTCGTCTCCCCTGCGCTGCTGCTGCTGCTGCTGCTGCTGCCGCCTGTCTTCTCTGTTGGACACTGGCACCCTTCTCTCCGAGTAGCCCCGAACTTGGTACTTTGGCTGGGTGTTCTTCCGGCGATAAGCCTCCAAGCACGGATTCCTCTTCTGCGGGTGGACAAGCAAGCGAGCATAGCGTCAGCGATCCAGCGCAACGACGAAGTAACCAATGCAGGAGGAAAAAACAAAAACCAAGACCTTGGAACTCACTACTTTGGACGAGGAAGAGCAAAGAAAACTCTCAGCAAAGAAAGATCTCGGTTGAGCAGCAGTACCTCATAGACACGAATCCAGATCCCGTTGTGCCAGTCCTGCCGCAATCGCAGCAGCGCCGCCGGGTACTCCATCTCCTCGACGCTCTCGCGGAAGTAGACCACGTACTTGTTGTCGGGCTCCACGACCCGGGTGACGGTGCCGACCCACCAGCCATCGCGGTCGTAGGCCTCGATCGCGTCCCCCTCGTCGAACTTGGCCGCCGGGGCCGCCGGGGGAACGGGCCTCACTTGCGCCAGCGGCACGCATTCCTCGAGCGGCGCGTCGGAGCTCTCCCCGATGAGCGTGCGGTAGCGCACCCAGCAGCTCTTGTTGCTCTTCTTGAGAAGCGTCGCCTCGTACCAGCTGCCCAGAAACCCCGCCTCGTCGCTGCGTACCTCCACGCGCTCGCCCTTGCGCAGCCGATTCCCCGCCGCCATGCCGCCGAGGAGCACGCGGGGCGATTGAAGCAAGACCGCTGGCGATTCGCTCGTCAGGCCATCGCGCACAAAGAGAGAGAATTTTAGGGCCCGGAAAAATATCTATCGAAATATGCGATCTGGTAGCAGAATATGCCGTTTTATGTTTTGGATAGTTATAGTGAGCTTTTTACATCTTTTTAACATTAATAATTTTTATATTATATTTAGTATTTGAATCCAATAAAAAAAACTAGGATTTTACTAAAGTTTTTAGAAGATAAAATAAATAAACTCTTCAAGTTACCTGGAAAAAATTGAATGTTATTGCTAATTAAAATTTCAAAAATATTTTTTGTTACTTATTAAATCATTACTTTTTTATTACTAAATTTTGAGAAATGGGAATAAAAAATTAATTAGGTCTAAAAAATTGATATTCAGTTCCAAATAAAAATGCTATAGTGTAATAATTAATATGATACTTAGTTAAGATAATAAATGTATACACTAATTAGAGAATTACATCATATTATTTTAATAAATAACATGATTTTTCTATATGGCAAAAAACATTAACAGATAATATAACAATATTTAGAAAGAATAATTACATTTATAGATATAAAAATTAAAGGTTTCTATTTCCAATATCACTTTCTTTTTTTGCACCACAATGAAAATTTAATAGCTTAAACAACTTCATAGTAAAATTTGTAAAGTTATCATTTAAATTTATAAATATTATGTGTAAAAGAAAACTTTAAACAACAAAAGTGTATTATATTTCTTCTAGAAAAAAATTTCATATGAATATCAAATAACAATATTTATTTTAAGTCTTTTTTACCTAAATTTTCAATATAAAATTAATCACAATAGCTAAAAAAGTACAATATATTTTATTTAATTACTTCATAGTTAGAATTATTATCATTTGGTATTTTATATGTCAAACTCAAAATAATAGATATTAAAAATTTATAATTATTTTAAATATTTATTAAAACTGTATCAAATATTGATATTAATGTGTTTAATATTACTTTTAATAATTTTAATACTTAACTTGACTTTTATATCATCAAAGTAAAGTATCATAATCTATACTAAATAATTTATTAGAGTTGTCAGTGAAGAATTATATTAGATTACTTAAATTCTTGTATGACTTCCATAAAATATCAAAACTTAATTACAAATAAAGAAGATTTAAGAAATATATTGATTATAGAATGTTCAAATATTAAAATCTCATTATCAAATAAAGTATTATAAATTTTGAGAAATGAAGTTTTATTTTATTTTAGTATAAAAGTTTTTTATAGTATCTAGGGGTGGGATGTTGCTTGATGAAAAGTATAGCATTAATAATGATGACTATAATAAAAAGAAAGAGATTTTTAATAATGTCAGCACTTGACTATGAATGCACTATTGATGAGTTTTAATTATAATTTCATAATGTAGCCTAATATTAGATGATTGTTTTTTTAATGAAACTAAAATTTTATTTTTTATGAAAATATTTTACAAATATGAATTAATAATAAATATATTACTATAAATAACTATATAATATAGATAATAAGTATATATATTCTAATTAAGAGGATGAATAATTTGCTGGTACCTCCACTAGAAAAGGTAGAAATAAATTATAGTAATAAATGATAAATTTGTTGAAAGGTAATATTAGAATCTAATAGTTTTTAGAGAAAAAAAGTAGTATATAACTTAAATATCTTGTTTGTTAAATATCTACAAAATATATTTTAAATCTCATTAAATTTGAATGTTTATGGAATGTGCTTCCAAAATAGATTTATCACAGATACAAATAAAAAATTCATAGATGTATTTGCTAACTACCAGACTCTAACTATCCATGAAGTTCCTAAAGAACCTGGTAAGTTGGTTGAAGCATTTTTATGTCAAACTCATGCATTTTTTTAATGCTAAAGTTATAAATGAGTAGCAATGAAAGATTTTGGCAAAATATAATAATATCCAATTGTCCAACCTCATCTAGCAAGACCAAGGACTAATTATGAGGATCTCTTACTTTGATTATTTTCCACAAATACCAATTCCACTATTTTTTATCTTCAGCCCCAATAAACTAGAGAGCTGTGGCCAGGTGTTTAATCTTGTCTATGCATGAAAGCAATGATTGACTTCACTTGGAATAATAAAATCTTAGAACATACCTTACACTTTATGCTTTGATTAGGAAGATTTAAGTAATAAAAAAATAAGGAAATAACCATATGACTTGATTTTAGTTAAGTAAGTCCAATAATGTGAAATTGAAACTTTTGGACAAAGTGTGTTACTTAAAAATTATTGAATTCTAACATTTCTCAGTTCCAAGGGATCTATATAGTGGCAATGGAATGTAATTGTTAAAGATGGGATATGACAAAATATAGGAATATTGTAAACTATTACCAAATAGTGAATTTGAATATAAGAATTTAATATTAGGCTTCTTGAATGTTTTTAGTTAAAAACTAGATAATGGATTTGGTATTTAAGCAAGAAAGAAAATATAAAAATAATTGTTACTACTCTTTTGAAATACATATTATTAATAATATCAGAAAGTAATTTCTAATTATTTCATAGTAGGAAATGGTTTTAAAATTTTATTAATTATAAATACAAGATTAATCTAAATGAATAATAACCATTAGATGATAGAATATTGAGGTATTTTATAGGTATATCCACTACCATATAGCCAAAAATATCATGTTGAGTAAAAATTAAACTAAGATAAACTATAAAGTTGTTGTTATGTAAAATTTTCTTGAAGTATTTTTTTATTTCTGTGGTAAAACTAGAGCTGTGATATTTTACTTATCTTTCCATAATTTTTCATTGCACAGTATTATCTCTACATCTGCACAAAAGGCCTTGAAGATTGTTTATTTAATATATAAGAACAAAAACCTCTTAGTACACAAGGAGAAAGGTAAACAACAAATACCAACTGCTTACTTTAGATTTTTTTTATACATACACAACTAAAGTAAAACTTTTGGCAGAAGTAATAGCCAATAAGGGATAGTTTTCTTTCATGTATATAAAATATATGAAAAATCTGGTGGTTTTCACTCACCATGTAACTATAGCTCAAATATTAATTTTAAAGTATTGCATAATAAACTAATAAAATAATGTATTTATAAATTATATTTCCTCTTTAACCCATAATAGTAGAGAAATTACCTTATCTTACCATCTCTTGTGTTGCAAGGAACTATTATGCATTTCTTAGATTTTATCAATTTATATTTTCTCAATGTGTCTAGAACCATTCTCTATTGCCAACTTTGAGGTTTAATATAAATATGGTAGCAATATGGATAACTTATGTATGTTTTTAAATGCAAAATCCAATACATAATAGAAATTTTAGTAAACTATGAATTCAGATAAAACTCATTACACACTTAAAATTATAATGTCACCAAACCAGTTAGAAAACCTAGTTTACAATTCTTTGGTTTTGTGAAAACTCAATTGCTTTTAAAGCTTGATGTGTTTAGGGTTGTGTATCTTTTTATGAAGGCAATTAAAAAAATTCAAATTCAAATTTCATGATGATAAAATAAAATGATTTTATCTTCCCCAATACATACATTATTATCTAATTTCAGTATTGTTCTTTGGAGATAAATAGTAGCAAATTTAGATATGTATACAATCAAAATTTATACAAATCTAATTAACATATTAATTCTAACTATCAAGAACACCCTAAAACCTAAACATATATTCTTGTGAGCTAGTATGTACTGTGGTTCATGACTGGCATGTAACGAAGTTTTCTATCGTCTTTTGTAATATGTATGTTTCCTTTCTATCAACATAACTATGTGTGCAGAATGAGAGTTTTGCCTATTGCTTCCTGGAGGAATCAATTGATCTGTGATTTTCTTTGCGATCATCATCATGCACTACTTTGATAACCATGAGGATCCTCCACTCAGTCAAGTTCCAGATTGTCCAACCAGAACAAATAACTTGATCAATGTATGATGTATAGAGATGAGATCCTCCAGAATATCATAACAGTTAAATCTATACATATAAGTGATAGTGGGGAGGCCTGCTGGCTGTTGGATCCCAGGCCTGCTGGCCATTGGATCCCAGGCCCGGGCTAGGGTCAGTAGCCATGGTTGTGTGAGAATTTTTTCTGATGTTTGCACTGGCCAGTGGGAGACCACTACAGCTCTGGTGCTCATTGGCTCCGAGCGAGGCAAGACAGGCATCTAACATGTGCCACCAGTGGTGTCCTATCCCCGTGCCTGTTCTTTTTAGCTCACCCTAGATGCCTTGCCACAATTGAGCTAATGCTTGCTTGCCGGATCCAGCGGCAGAGTTGGAGCCAGAGCCAGCCTTCACAGCCAAAACCATCAAAGAGTTTGCAGTTTGCAGGTAGCAGCGTCGCATGTTCCCGAAAAATCAGCCAAGAAGTCCGGAGAGCCACGGATGGACAACCACGTTTAATCATTGGTGGCTTTAAACCACCCATATTCAGGAGGGTCTTGTCCTTCTATGAGAGAGAACAAGCCCAAGGTGAGTTCTCAACTCCACCCACCTCTCACGGCTCAAACGTCATTGTATTCTAAAAAGCATAGGAGGCTTTTTGAATGCTCACTACGCCCTGGAAAATGTGTGCCAGTCCTGTGTCTAGGTTTTATTGGTTGTTAGATTAGTCTCTTTTGTTTATAGCTTCAGGCGTGTACAGATTGTGCTCTCACTATATAGTCTTCGATTTTTTTTTTTTTTAATTTTTTCTGGCTTTTACTTAAAACCTCTGAAAATTTTAAGATAAGTTCTTTGATTTTCTTTGATGCATCACTTGCATCTATTTCTTGCCTTAAGTTTAAATTTGCACTAGATAGGTTATTTCATTTTATTTATCAAATAAAATTTCCTCCCTAGCAAATATGCCTCAGCTTCGTGAAGTATTAAGAGGCATATGTCACCACTTGCCTCCAACTATTGACATTAGCACATATATTCATACTCACAACAACCTTGCATATGCTAATGAAGAAACTAATTTAGACTTTGAACATGCTAATACAAAAATTACTTCAGATCTTGACAATGCTAAACATAGCACATGCTGATGAAGGTCACACAAATATAAACCTTGAAAATGCTAATGAAACTAATACAAATGCATGCAATCATCATAGTTATACTGTCTATAAGTTAGCACATCAAAAGAATTATAATAAC